TCTTCCTTATCTATCTTTAATACTTGTCACTTTCTCTCAAATCCTTTGTATCTCCTTCTTCTTTTATTTTCAAAATTTTCTTCATTTTTGCGTTGGTTTTCTTAAGGCATTATCTCACATGTTTCTCCTTGTTTAGCTTTTGTTTCTCAAATGACTTTCTCCTCCTCATAAATGAAAATTTATTTCTAATTCATTCCTGAGTTAGGACATTTCCTTCTGGAGAATGTATACTGCTTTTTCATGTCCTATATAATTTTCTAAAAATGTAAGCTTATTTTGAAATACTAGGTTATAGATTTTATCTGTTTTGAAAATATTATTTTCCTGGCATTTTCTCCTTATAGAGATGTTATTCTGTTCTTTATTCTCTTTTTTTTTTTGAGATAGAGCCGCAAGCTGTCCCCCTGGGTAGAGTGCTGTGGCATCACAGCTCACAGCAACCTCCAGCTCCTGGGCTTAATTGAGTCTCCTGCCTCTGCCTCCCAAGTAGCTGGGACCACAGGTGCCCACCACAACGCTCGGCTATTTTTTTTGGTTGCAGCCTTCATTGTAGTTTGGCGGGCCTGGGCTGGATTCGAACCCGCCACCTTAGGTATATGTGGCTGGCGCCTTAGCCACTTGAGCCACAGGCACCAAGCCTCTTTATTCTCTTTTAAAAGTAAATATGTATAGGATGAGAAGTCAATAATTTTCTGTTGTACCTTTTTAAGTAGAGTTAGTTTTCATGAACCTTTGGAGGGAGGCAGAGTTCAGGAAAACTCTTCTAACTTCGTGTAGTTCCACTTCCTTCTGTTTGAGTGTAGAGTTAAGAAATACGGTGACCCGCTCTCTGAGCGTCCCTGGCTTTGCTTCTTCCCCTGACATTGAGCTGAATTTCTCTTTCCTTTGCCGTGCTGTCCCTGTCCCACTCCATTCTGATTCCACCCCCAGAAGTTTATTCTTAATGTGGCGCTCTGTGATAAAAGAGATTCCTGGTGGGTCAAGTTTGAGAGTTCAGAGGGCACCTGGGAGTCACCTGTAATGGAAAGGCAAACCCCCTTGTGGTTTCAGCTCCTGTTCTCAGATTCCCACCCTGTGCTTTCCAGCAAATATCCAATGGCTATCTTGGGGTTCTCCTTTCTCGTGTGCAATAGATGCACCAGATTGCTTCCTTCTTCTCACGAGATGATACCAAGCAGGTCAGACAGCTACTGGTGGTTGTCTCCACTTGTTTATGTTTGGGGACTTGTGGGGATAAACATATCAGCTAGTGGTTTTTGGGTTTTTTTTTTTTTTTGAGATAAAATCTCACTCCATCAGGCAGGCTAGAGTCCCCTACCATTAGCCTAGCTCAAAGCAACCTCAAATCCTGGGTCCAACCAATCTCTTGCCTCAACCTCCCAAATAGCTGGGACTACAGGTACTCGCCACAACACCCCGCCTAGTTTTTCTATTTTTAGTAGAGAGAGGTTCTTGCTCTTGCTCAGATTGGTCTTGAACTCCTAAACTCAAGGGATCCTTCCACCTTGGCCTCTCAGAGTGCTAGGATTATAGGCATGAACCACTGCACCTGGTCCTATCAGCTGGTTTTGTTGTAATTATTATCTATGAGGGTTGCTATCTAGTTGCTCTGTCAGTTTTTATGTGGGGATTTGGAAAGGTTGAAAGACCATGCTGCCATGGCTGCCATCTTCCTAGAATTTTCTTCATTTCTTTGACCTTTAAGTAAAAGGGTCCTGATGATACAGTTATTTTATCAGAAGTGCCTTAATAGTGATTAACACATATAATATATTGCCTGTTAGGAACTTCATATTTGTTTGTGTGCGCACACACACATTTATAGATGTATAATACAGACACACAGTATTATCACGTCACTTAATAATCATTGTTTAGCTTTTGCTTCTCAAGTGACTTTCTCCTCCTAATCTTTCTCCATTTGCCAATGGGGGAACTGAAGCACACTGCCCAAAGTGACACAGTTAGTGAGTGGCGGCACTGGGATTTGAATCCAGGCCACCTAGCCCTGGTGTCCCTTACTGGGAGCTGTGGTATCCAACAGGAGCTACAGCAATGCACAGAAGACCCAGTGACATATTTGGTGGTGGCATGATGGTACCTAGAAGAGGTAGTAGTGAGAGAAGAAGGCATGATGAGATGTCCAGTAGAGCCAGTGAGCATGACATTCACCAGAAGGAGCGGCAGCCATGTTGGGTGGCCACGGCAGGGCACAGCAGCTATGGTCCTGCCCAGTGTCAGGGTGTAAGGAAGAAAGGATGACAGAATCATCTGGTTCCATCTTGTGGTTGACTGAACCAGGTTTTGTTTTATTTTTTCTGAGATAGGGGCATGCATGAGATGAACTCTGGGGACTCCTAGAAAGACTCATCACGATGGATGAGAGTAAAGTTGGGCTCTATATTTACATCTGCTTCTTCTGCTGGACTGTGTGAGCTTCCTAAGGGCAGGGATCAGCCACACAGGCCTGGCACACAGTCAGTGACTCACGTTCACCAGAGGTTGTCTAGGAGATGTTGCTTAATATTTTAGACCTTTTTGAACTGATCGAGTATGTTTTAATCTTGTTACTAGTGTCACGTGGGGACAGGTACTTCCCAGGGGCTGAGGGATGTGCGTATATATATGCCTCACTAGAACACCAGTTTCCTTTAAGTTCAGGCCAGATTCTGAGAATTAAGACACTGGTTGCTAAGGGTCCAAGCTCCACCCAACCAGAGCATTGCTTAGTGGAAGACAGGAATGTTTGCACAGTGTCTTGTATGAAAGGTTTCCCTGGTTTTATGGACTTCTGCTTCAAATATTTCTATTTAAAACTAAGCTTTATATCATGTCTTTTTGTGGGCTCCAGTTACTTACCCAATACTTAACACTTTAACCACAGGGCAGGGAACTCAACCTAAATTTTGTCTGACATCCCAACTGTGGATAGAATCCACACCTGCGGAAATGTAGTCTCAGAATGGTGGGTGGCGTGGTTTCAGGGCATTCTTGTGTGCCAGTCCTGGACACTCCTGTCCCTCTTGTGTAACTTCCTGCAAGTTCCAAAAATATTTTCAGCTGGCTTGGCAAGGCTTACAATCCATTTCTCACAGGTAGTCTTAAGATTACTTGATTCAGTTACCTATTTTTGATACCTACTACGTGTTAGGCTTTCTATGGTTAAACTTTATAAGCTTTGAGGTTAAAATTTACATTTAAAAGCTTTATAGTCCAGCACCTACATCGTTCAGAAAGTCCGGCTCCTTCTCACTGAAAAACTGTAAACATGAAGACATGATTTTAGCCTTGAGAATTAGAGCGAGCCTTGACAATTTCAACTCTCTCCGACACCTGGGCCTCACCAGTCTGGCCTCCCTGGTGCCCTTAGTTTATTATACTAATGCAAAATGAAAGCCAAGTCCTCCCCTTGCCTGACACAGCCCTATAGGACCTGGTCCCCTTCCCCTATAACTCTCACCCCCCCCCATCCCAGTCAGCTCTTTCCCGGCTCCTCTGGCCTCCTTGCTATTCCTTAACACATCTTGAGGACACTTGTGCCCCAGAACCTTTGTAATTGCTCTCTCCCCCGAAAGAATTTCTGCCCAGCTACCCACATGGTTCCCTTCTTCATGTCCTTTAAGTCTTTGCTCAAGTGTCCCTTTCTCAGTCAGCCTTTTCTGATCCACAAATTTTAAATTGAAATGCCCATTCCCTCTTCCACCACCAGCACTCTCTAGCTTTCTTTTCCATCCTCTTTTCCTTCATAGCACTTTCTACCTCCAACATATTGTATATTACATTGCTTATTTATTTGGAAAATTGACTGCCCTTGTCATCAGAATGTAACTTTCACAGGGGAACTGATGATTTGCTTGCCGCCATAGCCTAGGTCTTCAAATAATACTTGGCACATGGTAGGCACAAAAATTTATTTAATGAGTAAATAAACTGGTAGCAAGTCTAGAATGTTTGAAGTAGGTAAGATTAGGACAGAAGGACTAATCAGAAGCTGTTGCAAGTCAAAAAAAAAAAAAAAGGACTCAAGCTCAGCCTTAATCATTAACTATACATGTCTTCTGTTGTGAAATGATAGTGAAATCTGTTATTGTCTTGTTTTGTTTTTTAAGTTTTATTTTTAATTGACGCATAAGAATTGTCTTTTAATTTTGCATTAGTTTGTCTTGATTCTTTAGGTAGATCAAACGCTCCTTGTGAGAAGAGACGTCACACCTTCATCTCTGCTTGTCCCTCAGTGCTTGGCACTTAGGTGACATGAAATGTGTGCAGTGCCTCATTCATGATCTGATATGACTGACTTTCATTTGGGGAAGGGAATTTTAGAGTGCGTTTTGTTTGATGAAGACCTTAGGAGCTAATCTGTGTTCTCACACGATGGTACTAAATAAAGTTAATTTTGTTCCATGACAAAAGTATTAATATACATGCTCACTACAGAAAATGTGGAAATGAAAGAAAATTTCAAAAAATGAAAAAAAAATAACTCTTCAGTTTTACTACCCATTAAAAGCATTTTAATGTCATTCCTCTAAATATTTTTCTAGACACAGCTGTTGACATTATTGGAACAATTGTGTGTTTACATTTACACTTTTGCATCCTGCATTCCCCCCACTTTCTTCACACATGTATTTTTCTTTGCTTTAAACTTTTGGAAACCACTACTTAAATAATGGACACTATATAACCTGCAGCTGGGCTATAGCGCATGTAACATAAGATATTTAGGCTCCTTCCATTTCCCCCTTATTGTAAAGATCACTTGCTGTCCCGTCAGACTTTATTGCCTGCTGTTTATTAATCTGGTCACCTGCCCTCCAGCCTTCTGTGCTTCAGGCTTATAATCCGCAAGATGGAGGTAACCAGAAATGAGTTCATGCATGGCAGAAACAGAGCTGGGCATATAGTAGGTGCTTAGTAAACATCAGATGGCCCAGAATGGAAATCTTTGGAAATTGCCGAGAGTTGATAGTCCTCCTGGTGCTGTCACCTCGTTGCAGGCTGCACCTGATGCAAGTGGATTCGGTCCAGCGCTGGATGGAGGACCTGAAGCTCATGACCGAGTGTGAGTGCATGTGCGTCCTGCAGGCAAAGCCCATCAGCCTGGAGGAGGACGCACAAGGTGACCTTATCCTGGCAGGAGGCCCTGGCCCGGGAGACCCTCTGCAGCTGCTGCTCAAGCGGGGCTGGGTCATCAGCACTGAGCTGCGCAGGATCGGGCAGAAGCTGGCGCAGGACCGCTGGGCGCGGGTGCACAGCATGAGCGTGCGCCTCACCTGCCACGCTCGCTCCATGGTCAGCGAGTACAGCGCGGTCAGCAGGAGCTCCTCGCGGGAGATGGGCCAGGTCAGCTGCCCTGGGATGGGGGTGGCTTGGTACTGGGACTGGAGATGCCTCGGAGCAGGGTGGGTCTGAATCATGGGGAGTCCCAACCTTTCCTCCCGCCCCGCCCCCGGCCTCTTTTCTTTTCAAGCAAAGCAGGGAAAAAAGACGGTAGGGACCTTAACTGAGGACCTAACAGGTGAGACATTGTGGGAGGTGTTTTTACACACAAACCACACCACCTGTGAAGGAGGTAGCCCCACTGTGAGCAGCTGATAGGAGTTAAGTACATTAACTTGAATGCCAGACTGCTTGGGTTGAAATGTCAGCTCTGCTGTGTGCGCCTTGGCAAGTGACTGAACTTCCCTGAGCCCCAGTTCCTTCATCCTCCTGGGCATAATAATAGCACTTATGTTATAGATTTGTGAGAAGAATAAATTATTTGTTATATGTAAAACATTGAAAGGAATTGATTAAAAAATATCAGTATTATTATCCTCATTTTATAGTTGAGGAAACAGAAATTCCAAGAGGCTGAGTAACTTGCCCCAAGGTGTGTAGGCAGGAATCAACCTGACCTTTGCTGAGTCCACAGCCCATGACATTGAATTTTCTACGCAAAGCCCAAAGTGAATGACTGACAGTCTCCCTTCTTCTTTCTCTCTTTCCTTTGACGTGCGCTTTTCACCTTAGTGCCCTCCCCTTGGCCTCAAACCCTTCTTGCCTCTACTTTGCAGACAGTGTTAACTCCTATTGTTTCTTCAAAGCTCAGCTTAAATGCCCCTTCCTGTCTGAAGCCTCTCAGATGGGTTTTATCTGGCTCAGTTTTATTTTCTTAAACTCCCAAAGTAGCTGGCAATGATCTCTTTTGCAACCTGGATCACAGTGCCTTATAGATCATGTGCCTGTCCCCCAAGTCAGATTACTTGATTCTTCATCTTTATGCCCTAGAGTTCCCGGCACGGCAGTTGGTCCTCAATCAATGCTTATTGAATTGAAGAAAATTGATCTATTTTTCTACAGATTGAGAAGCTGCTAATGGAGAAATGCTCAGAGCTCTCAGCAGTCACGGAAAGGTAAACCTGAACTCTGGGTCTCCCACAGTCTGCCAGGCCCATGCTTCAACAGGGGAAGGGCTGGTGTCTTCTCTCTTGAGGGAGAATGGGAAGGGGAGGCCTGATGGTGGTTTAGGAGTTTACTTTTTCTGACTTTTATCAGAAACTTTAAAAGATTCCCTTGGAATTTTCTGCCCCATTTTCAGGCCCCAGGGATAAGGTAAAGGGCAGAGAAAAGGGCCAGGCATAGGAAGAAAGGATTTTCAAGGAGTTGGTAACAAGGAAAGGGTTTCTACAACTGTGGGGAGGCTCCCGAGTCTCCCAAATCAAGGCAAGAATGAGGCAAGACATAGATAATCAGAGACACTCACTCACTCATACTCAGATATGTAAACACACACTCACACAAGCACAGACATATACTCACACCCACTTCTCCATGTTTCACAGGCATAAACATACATAAGTTTACACTCAGACGCATACACACACTCAGTCTCATACGTGTACACACCCCGGTGTGTGCTGACACTCTCCTCACCCTTCCCCTGTGTTTTCCAGGAGAAACGTGGATCTTGGCATTCCCTGGGGTTCATGGGGTCTTTGCCTTTCCTGGGTAGAACATTCTCAGGCCACAGTGGTAAACCTGAGCCAGATCCCATCTGTTCTTTCTGTCTGGGAAGAAAATCCTCAAGGGCCATAGACGTTGACATACGCCGTTAGCACTGGCGATACCTCGCACTCCAGAAGCCTTCTTCATAGCTTCCTGCCTCTGAAACCCCCACACCAAGCCCAGGCCTGGAGCAGGCCAAGATCTGGCCCCTGCAGTGACTCTGTCCTGCCCCACGGCCCTCCCAGTGGCTCACCCCATGGTTCCCTCTCCCCAGGTGCCTCCAGGTAGAGAACGAGCACGTCCTAAAGTCGATGAAGGCCTGTGTGAGTGAGACCCTGAGCACACTGGGCCAGCACTTTGGCCAGCTGCTGGAGCTGGCCCTGACACGGGAGGTGCAGGTCAGTGCAGGCTGGGCAGTGCATCATGGGGACTCTTGGGGGGCAGGGGAGATGGACGGGCTGAGCCACGCTGGCAGAAGCTGCTCATATAATCTTTCTTGGGAAGCATCCGTCTGAGATCACCAAAGTCCATTCCAGCATCTGGAGAGACAAAGCTGCAGAGCTGAGCCCAGCCTTCCTGAGCACCTAACCCAACTGTGCATTCTCCAGAGATGAAAACTGTAGCCCAGAGAGGGAAGGCACTTATCCAAGGTCACACAGCAAGGTGGTGGCAGCCAGGCATTTGTTAATTACACTTTTAATTTTATTCTCAGTACCTAGAACTTCTCTGTTATTATTAATTCATAGCTCACTGAAAGACTTTAGGTACCCACCAGGAATAAGTCAATTGTGGAAATCCTGGCAAGAGAGAGGAATCTAGAAAGGTCCTATAGTCCTGCCCCTGGCTCTAAGCAGGACTGGATTTTAGAATCCATGCTTGATTTTAGAAAGAGGGAGACACTTTAGAACCTGACAGATCTATTTCCAGCTGGTGGTGAACCTCTCTCAGCTTCATTTTCCTCATCTATAAATTGAAGAAGCTTCCTCAGGTGAAAAGTGACAGGCCTAAGCAAAAACACATGGAAGGTGCTTAGCGCTTAGTATGGGTTAAATACATGTTATCCCCTCCCTTGCCCTTTGCTATTTTAAGAGCCTCCCAGTAAGGCAGATTCCATAAGGCTCTCATTAGGAAAGGTATTTACATGTTATTTATAGTTACAGAAATATTGTGTTACATACTTGCCATTCTTTTCCCACCACCAAATAAAAGCTTCCCACAAATAACAAATCCCTTTCCATGTCGGCTTCTCTCCAAATTCAGCCTCTCTCCTGAGCCTAGAGTTTCCCTTCTCTCCCTGAGCACTGAGCTCGTTTTGCCCAGGGCCCAGGCCCTTCTGGCCAGAGACACCTGCCTATCCTGTCTCAGTCACACTCCTCACCCCCACAGGCCTGGTCCCTTTGTCAGTGCAGCTGGTCCCAGGCATTCTCTCCCTCCCAACCACAGAAAGGTCCTCCAAGGTCACTCTCCCTGCCCTGACAGGCATGAATGGGAGGAATAATTTAAGGCTAGGGCACTGGGGCATCCGTTTAATGCACACAAGTCAGTGTTGACATCACAGATAGGGCCAGGTGGTGGCTCAAGTTGGGGTCCCCAACCCGAACCGAACCATCAAGTCCAGAAGAAACCACAGGACATGGGAGTCAAAGTAGGTGAAGAAAGTGAGGAGCTGATGAGAGAGAAATGTTGAAGGTAGCAGTGGGGAGGAGCCGGGAGGAACGTCTGAGCAGGGCACAGGTGCCGGCTGCAACTCTTTATGCCACATTAGTAACCACCTTCCTAGAAGTGCCAGGTTCAATTAAAAGGGCTGAAATGGAAGTGGTAAGTTGGATTGTCAGTGAAAGTCAGCTGCGTTTAGAACTAGTCATCAGCTCTTTCTACCAGGGAGCAGGGGAGTATGTATCTCTTTGATCCTGTAGTTCATGAGATCTGGGGAAAGCTCCCTGGGCCTGCCAGGAGCATACTGGGGCCATCTGGGCTGTGTACTTGGGTTCATTCTGGTTTCCCGTCATTCTGATCTTATTTGGGGTAGAATTCCTTATCTGGCACTCCCACTTTCCTGGCTGTCCCTTGCTCTAGGTCTGACCACCTGGGTCATTGAAGCCTGGCCTGGGAGGGGGGTAGGATCAGTGACTCCTCCTCCCTCCCCTGGTGGGATTGGCAGAATTTTGTCCTCCATTCACCTGCATATTAGTTTCCTTTCCTGGCACTCTCCCCCTTCCCTATCAGCGTGTTCTGTGATGTAGTATCATCTAAGCCGCTCTAAGGGCTGAGCTTGCCATGCTCATAATATTTTTTGGCTGATCTTTATCTTCTTTTTACATTAAAAGTTTTCCATATAGGACAGCAGAGACAGCAGCAAATATATTGGCTGAAGGCAGGGTAATTTGTATTCAGTGATGTTAGCATGTGTTTCTAAGCTAGAGACTCAAGGACTGTCTCCTAGGATGCTAGTAATTATACCAGTAGCCTATATTTGGGGTGTCTTGATGTAAATGAAATCAAAGACACTTCTTTGCATGAGAAAGTCCCCTGTGCTGTGTCATTCGGCATTGTGCATCTTCTAAAGGGTCCTCACACATTTAGTGTTTCTTATCTGACTGTGGCTTCCATATGGGGGGTCTGTGTTGTCTACCTGTGACCAGGATAGTACATAGCATAGAATGTTAAGCAGCATAATCCAAATTCACAGGGTCACAGTATTTAAAAATTATTATGATTAAAACACCTATTTGCTTATTCCGAAGTGTTGGTATTATAGGAAATGCAATTTGGGAAATATTCTGTTAGCTCTAGGAAGCCACGTAGGCTCTTGAGCAGAGGAGCAATCCCCTCCCCCCACATACCCACATACAAAAGTAAATGGAAAAATAGTGCAAACAGAAAGGGCGTGATAATCTAGCAGTATGCAGTGTGGGCCTGCCCCATCCTGGATTATTATGTCCAGTGCCAGGCCCTAGATGGCTGACTGACAATGACTGTGCTCAGAGGAAGTTCCTAGAAGGGTGGGGAGGGGCTGAAGGCTGAGGTTTGTGAGGAATAGCTGGGGGAATGGGGATGTTTAATCTAGGGATGGGTACTCTGCTACCTGCAGGGCTCTGTGCTTTGGAGCTCCAAAGGGAAGACAGACGCAGGCCCAGTGGATCTAATCTACAGAACACGCAATGTAAAAACAACTTTATGAAGCAATAGGCTGCCCAGCAACGGACGGGCTTGCCTCAGGAATTTCCCGTTACTAAGATGGGTGAGCTGTGGCTGGGGTAGGCAATGGGTAGAAGGCAGAGGTTGGACTGAATGACTTGCAAAGTTTCTTCCAATCTTGATAGTATGTCATTCTATGAATGTGGGCATTGTGGGATAGTGGACTGAGCATAGAGTTGGCAGGTGTATCAGGGTTCAAATCCTGACTGCTACTTACTGCCTGTGCAAACTTGGGCAGGGGCAAATTATTTAATTTTCTCTGATCCCTGGGTTTCCTCACCTCTACCATGGGTGTGGTTAGGGCTAAATGAGATAACACATGAGTAATTGGTGGCAATCACTAGAGACCTGCTCTGCCTTAAGAGGAGCCAACAGCAAGTTTTGCTAATGTAGCCTCCTAATCTCCTAATTGTTTATTAAGATGATGTACCTAGTTTGTGGAGAGGGAGAGTTTAAGGATTATATGTTAGGGGTCACCAAGGGGAAATTAATGAGTGCCAAGGATTAGTTTACATGAAAATCTGGGATTAGCCAGGTGGGAGTTAAGAGAAGACTCGACCTACAAAGATGGATTTACCTGAAGACAACTGAGGGGACTCTTTATTGACCAAATTGACTCTTGGCTGTATCTTTCATTCCTTGATCAGCTTCATGTGGATAGATGTTATGTTCATTCATCCAGTCACTGAGTCAATAATTTCTATTTCAGTTTCAATATCACCTTTATGCTAATAAAACTAAATAAGGAACATACTCTTGGCTCTGTGGCTAAGTGACTGTGTTAAAACTTCATCTCACATGTTAATTTCTCCTGATTGACCCAGGCAGAGCTGGACAACCTTAGGCCTCACTGGAGTGACAAGTATGTATCCCATGCAAATGTCAGACCAGGGGACCTTCCAGAGAGGGTGGCAATAAGCTGAGCATACTCAGTTCCTTTTTCCAAACTCCCCAATCAGATAACTCTACTCTCTCAGGGAGGTGAGAGGGAGGGGTGGGGGCAAGACCAGCAGAGGTGGCATTGCTGAAACCCCCACCCCCGCTGTGGTTTCACTGGAGGTGGCTGGATCACTTGGGGGATGAGGTCAACTGTCTGTGGGGCAGTCCTCTCTCACCTTCATGCAGCCATTCTCCCAAATAACAACCTGCACTCCCTTCTGGATCCTTCAGAAATCACCATGGACAGGTTTAGACTTTGCTTCCAGAAGGCTTGGAAATTTCTCGTAATATTGTGGTCATTAAGTGAACTCTAAGGATATTTTGCAACTACAGCTCCAAATTTGCTTCCCCTTGTATCTCCAACTCTCAGATTTCGTTCAATCATAATGTCCAATTTAGGTAAGCAGAGGCTGCAATGAGATTAAATGACACTACAGAGACCCAAACATATTTCCCAGCTGAGATATATAATGATTTTCAAAATTTCAATATGCCCCCCCATCCCATTTAAAGTTCCCTAGGAGAAAATAAAGTAAAAAAAAAAAATTCTGAACCCTTTTACTCTTAATATAGTCTCATTGATTTACTTATTGTTCTTCTCAGCCAAGAGGGCCTTATTCTAGTGTGTGGGGAGTTAGGTTTCCTGCTCTGCAGTCCAGGATGTCCCTACAGGAATAGGAAAGGTTCCTTCAGGATTTCTCAATTTGCACTTGTCTTTCCTGACCATAAGTGGAAAGGTCCACAGAGCCCTTAATACTGGATATATAATAATATCATAGCATCACTCCTATGCTCCCAGAAAGTTAAAATGGGACAATTCTCACACTGGGAAAAATCTCCAGTTGATATTTTGTCCCAGGACTCTGTCCTTCTGGTTACCAAAGGCCTTAACAGACAGTCATCTGTAACTGAGGAAAAGAGGACGGCAGTGAGATGGTTCTAGCTGCAGCCTTGCCAGGATGCCAGCCAGCTTGTGTCAGGTGTCCATAATCCACAAAGATTTGTGAACACTCACGCACTTGCAGAACCATAAGTTAACTGTGATACTGTGTTTACCATGTATGGTAGAAGAATCTCTCCTTTCTCCTGGAAGGGCATTTGAAACGTTTTCTTCTTCTTGCAAAGTAAGGAGTTTGCAACTTCTGTACAGGACTTGCTTGATTTGCATTCTTTCCCATCCAGAGTATTCCAACCATCTTAATTTCTAGCTCCCTCTAAGCTCTGTGTTTCTGCCACCCTAAGCTGCATCAATTTGGGCTCC